TTGTTAACTCCATTGCCAAAGTGTTGAGAGATGTCCAGGCACGCGAAGGGGTGCTCCCGCCGAAGTTGCGGGTGCAAGCTGACAACTGTGGGGGACAAAACAAAAACAAGTATATATTCGTATTCACGGCTATGCTTGTCAAATTTTGGATATTTGAGGTCGTCGAAATGGGGTTCATGATAGTGGGTCACACACATACAGACATAGATGCGAAGTTCGGCTTGTTTGCAAAAAAATTGAGCGGTTGCGATGCATATACCATGGATGAGTTGTTCGATGTCCTCAAAGCATCCTGCGAAGAGGAGGTCGATTGCACGTTGCTCACAAGAATTGCTGACTGGAAAAACCACCATAGATCCGTACATCGATCATAAAATCAAGGGTCATGCCACGCCGCACCTCTTTCGGTTTTACATGGACGGGGACAACCCCGCCATGATGTACAAGGAGTTCTGTACCGACAAAAAGTGGGAGCCAGACACTGGCCCTATCTATTGGTTTAAAAGGGACGCACGCAACGGGTGGGCAGGGCCTGAATGGGGTTTCCAGCCTTGCCGTGAGTCACCTAACCCGGAGGCAGACGATTTTGTTAACGGAATAGCGGGGTTGCGTATTCTCCATAGATCGTGGGAGAACTCACAAAACCATTGGGAGACACAAGACGAACACACAAGAGCAATGAATTGTAGACGCTTGAACTACTGGTCCGACAATCTGGAAAAATTTGAAAAAATGTCGCAAGAGGAGAGCGGTACGGTGCCCCTTGAAGGTCCCTTCAGGCCAGCTCCCATGCCCGATACGCAAGATCTCCCGTTATGTGCGCCGCATGTCCTCGACTCGCCACCGAGGAAACCTTGCTTCGTCGGTTACCAGAGAGACGCTCCCAAACCGAAGTTCAAACCCCATGACTCTGTCGTCGTGAACAACTTCGTCGTGTTCCGCGCGCCCGACGAGTATGTTGAAAAGGGCTGCACATTTTGGATAGGGCGTGTTATGGAGTGGGATGATAGTCGTATCCGCGTTAAGTACTGGACACCTTGTGGAAGGGATCGCGACTTATTGAAGCTGTATGCAAACGCATGGGCAAAGACGTGGAAGGTTGAAACTGAATCCGATGAAGGATGGCAAGACCTCGACGTCGTAGTGTGGGCATGGGCCAGCAACAAACGGTCCGAGACAGGTATGAGGATCCCTAAGCGAGACGCTCTTAATGCACAGTTATCGCTGGCCGTCCCTGATAAGATGCCCGTGTCAACGCCCAATATGGGATCTGATTCAGACACATTTGTGTCGACGTGAGGAGGGAAGGAGTATGAGTGACGATCATATGTTCAATACGAACAACACAAAGCACATCACTGATTGTTCGATTGAATTGCATTTTTCTCTTTTTTTTGTTGTGTTTAGAATGTCTGCATCGTCAGAGTGGAAGCCTAATGAGAAATGGGGGACGCCGGTGAGATGGGAGGACCTTTTGTCATGGAAAACAAGAACACAAATGAGGGCTGTCGGGTGTGCGGGCAATCGACTGGACGGTTTTGGAGCCCTCGAGATGACATTCCACAATGAAGATGGGCAAAAACAAAAACTGAAAAAAACTAACACAATAACAAAGTTTAATATTGTCGATCATATTCAACGACGCGAAAGTGGTAAACGGAACAACTTGCAGTCCGTCTTGCGTCGGTGTCCACTTTGACTGCCGTTCAGCAATGACTCGTCAACTCACGGTCACAGTTCCGTACTGCGTCTATGCTTGTGATGCCTTTGTTTTTGTTTTTTTTCTCATGCAGCATGGACCCGGAATGGATGCATAGGCAATTAAGACAAGATTGGTGGGGAACGCCAATCAAATGGGGGGAACTAATATCAGACCGGTTGAGGAGACAGCGTAACGCCGTCGGACTTGTCACGTGGGATTTTGCATATTACGAACCGTCACTGCATTTGTATCCTCTAAGCGCGAGAAGAAAGATTTAGAACCTCGTGGGGGTGTGCGACCGTCAGAATAATAATAATTACAAGAAAGACGGAAACGCAAGATACAAGGAGGTCTTCTACAGTTACGGCCTTGTGGCTGCCCCGGTGACAGAGAAATGCAGCGCAAACATTGCATGTGTTGCTGTACAATATCACGAAGGGCTTACAATATGTGCAACGAAGACATGGAGACAAAAGATCCCGCGGAGTGATGCAGAAGTCTCGATGGTGCGAGCGTACGAGCAGCATGTTAAACAATATTGTAATCACGCACGGGATGCAATGTTGGAATTCATTGCTCGGAGGACTGCTATCACTGCTTCTATATCAACAGTCATCATAGAGAGCGAAGAAACAACGGGGGTCAACCGTAAATTCAAAAAAATTCTGTTAACAACGAACTTCAACATTACAAAGAGTGTACTCCGCCGAGCCAATGATCTGAGCAACGACCTTGTTCATTTACGCCGCTGTAGCACTTCGTGACATTTTGGTATAGAGAAATTTGTAGCTTAGCACATGTAGACGGAGATAGCAATATAGTAGATCCTGCGCTCGTACGAGTGCTCATATCGTTTTTTTTCGTCATGT